AGTGTTATTGTTTCCAACGCAACCATGGTGGACAATGGGATGAGCATCATGCCGATAACCTACGGCCCTCCTTCTCTTTCTCACAAATTTGCTGATAAATTTGCAAGTGTGAAGGTGAGAAAGTGTTTACCTTACAAGTTTTACAAAAGTGATTTTTTCTTCATCCTTTGTTTCACGTTCCTGATGCTTCTCTTTTCCCAGAATTCCTTGTTTGTTGGCAGCAGCCCTGACTTTGACTGTTCCGACACTCTGTCAAGCAGCGACTATAATGTGCGAGGCAGCGCGCAACATCGTGCCCCAAGACCGATCAACGGTACAGTACATAACACTCAACATGACATTTATACTGATGTTAAAGGTCACATATCCTCCTCCTCTTCAAAAAGTTTAAATAAGTCTCAGAGCTCCTCAAAACATGTCTGTGAAGTTTCTTGTTCTAAATCCATTCTGATCCTGTATTTGATCATGTCTATAAACCCCTCTATTTCAGCCCTGCTCAGAACAGGCTGTTTCTGTGTCTGCTTTAAATATGTAAATGAGCTGTGTCTGACCACGCCCCCTCTCTAGAAGGGCTTGGGTATCTCGGGCTGTCTCGCTCCATGTCTTATTGTTTACGTTGAGAAGGCAGACTCAGAGGGCAGAACAAACACCTAGCTGTGGGAGTGTCACCCACCTGGGGGAGGAGTTACTGCCCTTTATGATGTCATGAAGGGAAAATCTCCAAACGGCCTGTTTGAGCACACAATTTCTGAAAAGTGGAGCAGGCTAAAGACAGATAGGATGGACTTTTCTCATCATTGGGGGGGTTTGTAGACAGACTAGAGACACATATTAGTGTTAGAGAAACATGGTGAAGTGGATTTTACATATGTGACCTTTCCCAGGTCACATCTGAGAAACAGATTTGTGTTGATCCAGAAACTTTTAGAATGAAGATTAAAATGGGACAAGATGGTGAAACATTAGTAGTAAAAAATGACAATGGGATTCATTTGAATATGAACACAGACTGGTTAAAATATAACCTTTCCTCTTTGTGTGATTCTTCTTTCACTCCGACAGGGGGCAGATCTGCAATCTGTTGGCCAAATTTCCATTCCGCCCACAACAACGCACCACTAATGCTCTATCATCTGAACAGCAACTACAATGCCATCAAAGGCCTGATGACAGTGGAGGGTGAGTTCAGCCTCGGAGGTTTGAGGAGGGGAAGAACGTTTTGCCTGACACAAAATCTTCACTTTATCTCCTCTTGTTTCGTTTCCAGATACCACGTTCGTTAATTTCCAAAGCGTGTGCTCGGGCGAGGCAAACATCATGTTCATGACCAACACCGAGAACGAAGACCTGCATCACCCCGTGCATGTGTCACGCATAACCACGGTCGACAGCATGGAGGACTACAAGGTCTTCATCCACAGGGCTTCTTTAAAGTAAGTCAATGTACATCAAATGAGACTGTGAGATGGAATCGCTGTGACATTTTTAAGAAAACAAACTTTTGAGCTTTGACAATCTTATACATTACGTGACCTTAAACTGTTTTTTAAATGTCTGAATAATCATGCGCCACCACTGTCTGCTGAATAAACCACTAGGCACACAAACCTCCTTTTGGTCTGTCTGCTTTCTCAGCAAAGGGGGCAAAACTGTGGAGCGCTCTACCGACCAGCTTAAAACTAGAGACCAACTGTAACGCTTTTAACAGATCTCAAATCAGAACAAGAGTGCTCACATGAATAGCTTACAACTGGTCTATTGTCTGATCATGGGCAGCAGTGGGATCCTTACATGTAGTGAGAAAAGAATGAAGAAGCATGTCTAATGCCTCGTAAAATAAACCTCAAGAAGCCCAAAATCAAACAACAACTGAAAAAAACAAATCATTTAATTTGATCTCTTCTGAGAAGGTTTTCATTTCTCAGTTCTTACCTCTTAAACTTAAGTTTTGACTTACCTTTAAACTTAGTATCAGATGTGGATTATATTTTGTTTTTTTGTGCTTCAGAAAAATTAACCCGTCAGACTGTGTGGACATGGACTGTGACGGCAAGAAGAAGACCATGTTGAAGGACTTGGACGGCTCGTTCCTGGGATCGGTGGGGACGGTGCTGCCCCAGTCTGAGTTCCAGTGGGGGGGTGATCCCAGGAGGGGGCTGGGCGACTACCGACTCCCAACAGTCATGATCACCAGGAAAGACGGCAGCCCCATCCCTGTGGACCAGATCGCTCCAAACAAAGGTGAGCAAGCCAAAGGAGAGAGGCAACAGAATGATGCCCGTCGCCACCTTGTTTTTTTTAAACAAAAAGAGACAATGTTTGGACTACAAGGTGGATTACTAGATGCATTGTTACACCTTTAACCTGGTTGGCAGAAAGGAGGGATGAGATAACGAGAAGGGACAGATATCTGATAAACGTAAAAAGTGTTTTCTAATAAGCCGTGTTGCTTCATTTGTCATCAGGTATAATGAGGAAAAACTGCACTTATGTGAGTTCCTGGCAGAGCTACAAGTGTTTCGGGCTGAACTACAGGATGCTGGTGATCGAGAGTCTCGACCCCGACACGGAGACGAGGCGCCTGTCCCCCGTCGCCGTGCTCGGAGACGGCTTTGTGGATCTTATTAACGGTAGTTCTGTTGTTCTGAAAATGTTTCAAACCCATGAAAAACCTCTGTAACAACATTTTTTAAAAACTGTGTCTTTAACGTTGTGTTTCTTTGCTCTCAGGTCCGCAGGATCACGGATGGTGCGCGGGCTACACCTGCCAGCTGAGAGTGTCGCTGTTCCACAGCATCATTGCCACCGGTCACGCCTTTGAGGTCTTCTTCAGCAGCACCAGCCCTCAGAAACTTCGCCTCATGATGCTCAACGCCCATCCATCCGAGGTCAGTGCAAAAACCGTAAAGACTCTGCTGTGGACATTAAGAGATAATCGTCAGAAAAGGTAAACGTTGTGTTTTTTTATTTTTTTTATTTACTTACAGAGCGTCATAGTGTCAGTGTTCTACTCCAAGCCACAGCGGATGGACGTGTACTCAGACAACAACTTAATCGCTCCGACTAATGCCGAGTGGAACAGTGACAAAACAGACTACGAACTGAAGAAGCCTCTTTATGCAGGTACTGAAGCATGACGGACACAAACATGATGTGACAGAAACAGGCTGACGACAAAAACAACCACATCATGGGCTTTACTTTGGATTAAAAAAGGGAAAAGATCCACACGGTCCAGGGGGAAATTCTATTCTAACAGGGCAACTTTTCTGGTCTACAAGATTTTCATCAGGCACCTGTAGTGGGACACAAATGATCTCCTGGTCATCTTTGATCGACATATGAGTTAGACACAGAAAATTAACAAAGATGTCTCTTTTATTGTTTATAGAAGTGTTTTAAAAACTGATGGTCAACGTTGTAAATTACATTTTAGGTGATCTATTTATTGGTTTTCTTTTCTTTAATCTCTCCAGGTCAATACGTCCCCCAACTAAACGCCACCAAGGGCGCCAACTTCTTTGACTTAGAGAACCAGATGGTTCAGGTCGTCCTGAGAGGCTCCGATCCTGCTGAAATCCGAATCTCTCCGATCCTCTTCCTCTCCTTCGATCTGCCCACCCTCACCGAGGACGAGTTCTTCGGAGAAAACCTGGTGCGTAACCTCGCAGCCTTCCTCAAGATTCCCTCCACTATGATCCGGGTCACCAACATCATCCGGGAGGACGGAGGCGCGCGACGCAAGAAGAGATCTACGGGTCTGAAGGTGGAGGTGCAGATCAAGAAACCTCCGGTCCAGCAGAGAGACAACAGCACCAACGGTTAGTAGGAGAGGAAGCTGTTGACCTCCAGATTCAGATTCAACTTTCTTATAGTCCAACATGTAACACCGCTCTGTTCTCGTGTCAGATGATGAAGACTTCTCGCAGTTGAGGACCATAGCCGATGATCTGGGTCAGGCAGCAGTGTCCGGAAACCTCAGCAAGTCCATCGGCTTCAACGTGTCTTCGATGGGCATCATCGCGCCTCCTCCTGCATCATCAGACCCAAGCTGGAAGGAGGTGAACATTGAGAATTGATCACATGTTTACATGCATTCTGTGTTCTTCTCTTCTTAAATGTTTTTTTTTTTTTTTTAAATCTCAGGAAGCTTCAAAAAATGAGACGAGGGGGGAGGCCGAAGTGAGCTACGTGTCGAGCGTGTCCAAGCTGCTGCTGATCCTGGACCCGATAGCCGGGCAGCACGTGGGTCCTCTGCTCCTGCAGCCTAGTCTGATGGCTGTGGATGAGAAGGTGAAGCAATGATACGACTATAAACAGATTCCTTAGAGGTCAAAGCTGAGACGAAAACAAGACGGTGATCTTCTGTATGTAAACTCTGATCTGTGTTGTTTGGTCTGCAGGGTAACTGTGTCTCGGTGGGGGTGACCACGCTCACTCTAACAGCCACCCTGAAGGACTCCAGTGGAAACCCCGCAGAAGGACTCGAGGGAAACACCACCATCCTGTTCGACAGCTGCTGGGCCAACTTCACCGACCTGTCTATAATCAACAGCGGTATGTTTTCCCCGTAATACCTCAAAACCGAGATTAAATAATTCCGTTTCAGATAATTTTTTTAACTTATATTTTCTTTGAATCACCACAATAATGACCCCTCCTCGCCCTGCAGGGGAGAACCTCACCATGGTCTTCACGCTGAAGGAATGGAGCTCAAAGTCGCGCGCCTTCACTGTGAAAGACACTCCGACCACCACCGCCATGACAACGATGGCTGCATCGACCCCCGAGGCCACCACACAGGACGATAGCCTCTTCAGCTCCAGCACTAAGCTAGCTGCCAGCAGTGCCTGTGTGATTAGCGTTATCTACAACATCGCCTGCTGCTCGTCAGGGTTCACCTGTTAGACGTCTCTGTGAAGCTAAGACGGTGTTATGAAGGAAAATGCAACTTCACCCCGAGAAGCTAAATACAAAGAGGCGATCCTTAATATATATGACACAAAGGGATGCTTTTTCTTATTCTTTTATTTACTTTTAACTCATGTTGGGGTGGGGTGGGGCTACACGTTGGTTAAACAACACAGAAAATAAATGAATGTTTCTCAAATCCTCGAATGTGAACTAAAAAGGTGATATCTGAAGGAAGACACAAACTGAAGCACTTACCCCCCCCCCCTCACTTTGTCTCTTTATGGTCTCTGTGTGTGTAAATGTGTGTGTGATGTGATCACATGCAGCTTATGAATGATATATAATCAGGTGCCATTGATTTTAAATCTGTATCATGAAGGGATGTTTATTTTTTTCTCTTTTCAATAAATTCTATTTTTCAGGGAAGATAACCATCCCGGTCTTTTTTTCTTTAATGAATAAAGCACTTTTTTAAAACAAGGTTACAAAGAAAGTCAGGAGAAATGTGAGGAGGACAATGATTGAAACATTAAAAACAAAATAGTGGAGGATTATAAGAGGGCTACAAATGAAAAGGAAATTTAAAAAATGTAAAAAATATTTAGTCCATTCAAGATAAAAAGAAAGATGAGTTTATTTCTGTAGAACATTTTTAACAAGGCAATTCAAAGAGCTTCACACGAGACATCAACAGCAACATGACAAAGAGAGAAATAAACGTTAAAATAGAAAATGTAAAAAATCAGTCAAACAAACAATAATCACAGAGACGGTTAAATATGAAGATACACAGGGGAGCGCTGATGGCCTAGTGGTTATGTTACATGCCCCATGTGTGAGGCTATAGACCTGGTTGTTATGGATGTGGGTTTGAATCTGACCTCTGCCCTTTGATCGCTCTCCTCTCAAACACTTCCTGTCTCTCTTCAGCTGTCCTATCCAAGACAGCCAAAAAGGCCCAGAAAATAACTTAAAAATATATAAAATTCACTCAAATAAGACCAAAAGAAATACAGAAACATGACACTAAGTGAAAATAAGATTAAATTAAGATCAAATTAAAAAATATATACACCAATTTACTTTTGAGATTTGTGTCGGGTCTGTCAGTAACAGTGGACGTTTACTACAAGTATAAAGGGAATAAACCACTGATAGATAAAAGACTAATTTGTCTTAAAGGAAACAATAAAAAGATAACTGATGCTGCCTTCATTTGTAATAGAAGCTTTGTCAAGAGGATTCAAACACACTCTCGTTAAGAGCACATCTATAACCATGTTTCTTTTAAAGAGATTTAAAAGCATAAGGTATTTAAATTATCTGTATTAAGGGGATTAGCATTGACTCTATGTATTTATTATAAAGTCTATAATTCAGAGTAAAGGCTCTGTCCGTGGTGCTGAAGGAAGCTGATTGGCTACATGTCCACGTTCTTGTTTTTGCGCCGGTGCATCACTAGATGGCGTTAAACTCCGCTTGAAATCCTTGAAACCCAGGCTGCACTCTGAACTCTAGACTGCTGTGATATTGCAAGATAATGTTCAAGAAGACAGCAGCTGATAAAATGATGTGGAAAAACTAGGATATGTAGGAAAATGTTCTGTGTTAGAATGTAAATGGGAGTTTGTGCACAAGTCGACGAGCGTCTTTTCAGCGCACATCTGGCCCCTGAGAGAGGGAGGAGCGGGCCGACAGAGGAACAATTAGTTTTACAGCCTTAATTTGCGCCCTCCATTTACCCCTTACGATAACAGTACAATGTGGGCGTGTTCTCCTCCCCCCCCCCCTTTTCAAACTTTGCACCGCCTGTCCCTCCGAGCTGTGCGCACTTTGCGGAGCAGCCACTTGCTGCCGAGTGGATGCCGAGTTCAGCTCCGCTTTCTGCCCGTGGTCCCCCCCCCTCCCCATCCGCCCATAGCTCAGGCTCCGGCTCTGATTCAGGACGAGACCAGAGGATGGATTTCCATCACTTCACTCTTCTCTGCGGGGCTCTTGTGTTTGTTTGGGAAATCCCCTGTTGTCAGACTCTCGCTATTTTCCCTCCAGCTGCGCCGAAGAGCAGCAAGGTGACGCGGATCTTTGACAGACAGGAGGCGTCTAAGTATTTTAAGGAGATTTATTCGCCACCTTCCATCGACAGAATCAATAAAGCAACATCCAAGGACTCTGTTGAGCCCCATGACTACATGTTGTCTATTTACAAAACCTTCTCAACAGCAGAGAGGCTGGGACTCAATGCCAGCTTTTTCCGCTCGTCAAAGGCTGCAAACACTATTGCAAGTTTTGTGGACATTGGACAAGGTAAGCAGAACTGTGTGTGTGTGTGTGTGTGTGTGTGTGTGTGTGTGTGTGTGTGTGTGTGTGTGTGTGTGTGTGTGTGTGTGTGTGTATGTTTGATTGAACATCCATGACTCATATTTTCTCTCCCACCCGTGCAGACAATAGTGAGATTCCACATTTCTGAGGTATGCACATCTGAATGCATCTGCACCCTCCTGTCTTAATGTTTTCCACAGATGACCTCCCACTCTCCCCTCTGAGGAGGCAGCAGTATCTGTTCGACGTCTCAACCCTCTCCAAAAAAGCGGAGGTGCTGGGGGCCGAGCTCAGGATTTACACCAAAGTGTCTGGGAATTTCAGGATATCGGAAACAGAACCTGTCGACATCCAGCTCCTCTCTTGCCACAGCCACCAGCTGCTCGACTCCAGAACGCTGGACCTGCAGGATTCCCACAAGCCGAGGTGGGAGGTTTTGGACGTCTGGGAAATATTCAAAGAGCAGCGGCACCTGAGCCAAGGGAAGCACTTCTGCCTGGAGCTCAGGGCCATGCTGGACAACCCGGAGAGGGAGCTGGATCTGCACCTTCTCGGCTTGCATCGGCACGGCAGGCCTCAACAGAAGAAAGCCATCTTAGTGGTGTTCACCAGGTCCAGGAAGAGGCAGACCCTCTTCAGTGAGAGGAGGGAGGGGAGGGTGTTATTGGGGCTGGAACGGAAGGCCAAAGAGAGGGGCCCTGGTGCCAAAACCAGCAGGAGAAGGAGAACTGCCGCATCCAAAACCCGTCATGGTAAAAGACATGGCAAAAAGTCAAAATCCAGGTGCAGCAAGAAACCGCTGCATGTTAACTTCAGAGATCTGGGCTGGGACGACTGGATCATAGCCCCGCTGGATTATGAGGCGTACCACTGCGAGGGGGTTTGTGACTTTCCGCTACGCTCCCACCTGGAGCCCACCAACCACGCCATCATCCAGACTCTGATGAATTCAATGAACCCCAGCAACATGCCGCCCAGCTGCTGCGCACCGTCCAAACTCAGCCCCATCAGCATCCTCTACATCGACTCAGGAAACAACGTGGTGTACAAACAGTACGAGGACATGGTGGTCGAGTCCTGTGGCTGCAGGTAGTCCATCACAGCATCCCGGTCTGTGAGTTTGAAAGGCCGAACCTAAAACACGGGAAACTTTCTGAAGGATTTTTAAAAACGTACTCTAAAACATGCACCCAACAAGGTCATGATTTATACCTCGAACACTTTATTCATGTTTTCATGTATGATTCTTGACTAAGCTTGTCCGGCCACTTCACCACCACAGAGATTGTAAGTTCATGAATATTTAAAAAGATAAATGTGTTGAAAACTCCCGCCTATTCCACCAAATCATCAAAAGTTACACGTATTAATATAATTACCAGCTATTTTACAGACGTGAGTGAAAACACAACAATTGCAAAATACATTTGTGGGAAACTCTTACAATAATCAAACCTGTTCTAAAATTCAGTTTGAGCGATTCTTAAAAGAAAAATGTCAAAATGATCTCATCACGGCTCCTTAAATATGAATACTTTCTGACATCTTTACTCCACAACGACATTAAACTTTATTTTTTTGTGGAAAAAATAAGGCATTTGACGACGTCATCATCCTGATTCATCCTTTTCACCATATTCTGACATTTTAATGAACAAACCAGTTATAGATTATCTGAAAAATATTTAACAGATTAAAAGACACTGGAAGTTATCTTCAGTTTCAAAACCCTAGAGTTAGATAAGAAGATAAACATGCCTCACACCTGTCTGAAAAAAAGTTAAAATGAAGTTGTTGCTATCAGCTGGTTAGCTTGGCTTAGCATAAAACGGATAACCAGCTAGCAGGGTTTTATCCAAAAGAAACAGAGTCCACCTCCAAAAACACAATAATTTTTGTCTATGTTAAACAGACAGAATAAACACACTAACATAAGCTTTGGGAGTGCATTTTTTTTTTGTATTTTCGCATAAAGGCCAAGCTAGCTGTTTCTATCTTACATCAGAATGCTAGGCTAAGCTAACTGCCGCTCCTCTGTAGCTTTACATTTCATCAATTGCGTTTTATTTACCTTCCCCCCCAAATTGTCAAACAGAAAGTCAGTGATTTCCAAACCTGTTGATACATTTTTTTTAAATACTAATTTAATATCTTCCATTTAAGGTGAATTCATATAATTATTGGCAATGCAGAAATGAAAGGTTTAGCCATTATTTTGTCTTTCATAGCGGAAACAAGTAGCCTACTATGTCCGACATGAAAGGGTCGTTTGACATTTGACTCTGGTCTTTGATAATATTAGAAACTATTCCATATTACATCCAGTAATATAACCAATCCAGTTCAAATTAAGATGCGTGCAAAAACGAGATAACAATATAAATCGTCCTTGATAAGAACTTGTCCAAATGTATTCAAAGTTTCTGAGGATCAATGAGAGTCAATCTGTTATATTTAATTACACCTGTGTGGCCTGTTCTCTTAACTACTCTAAAAGTTATACTTTTTATCTTACACCCTGTCCCATAACAGACGTCAGATTAATACGTTTCCAGTAATAAAAAAGCAGATTTTAGCTCCAGACGCGGCCGCTATGACTCAGGGAACGTCCTCGAGTGCTGGAGAGATGTGAAGACTGACCCATCACTCCTCTTTTCTCACCGTAACCAACGCAGGGTTTCTCACATGTTTTATTATCTTTTTTTTTTTTTTATCGTATCGCTGAGAAGGTACTTCATTTTGTCTATAATGCACTGATGTTCAAAAA